CAAAGTGTAGCTGTGAAGTCGAGAACAGCCGCTGACAGTTTGAACGTCTGCATCGCCATCCAGATAGACTATAACCTTTCCCGTTCAAAATTGTAGTTCGAGAAAGAAGCCGCAATGAGGAAGGCCCGGAGGCACAGTTGGATGAGACCGTCACCATAATAATGGACGCTGAGCAAACCGTGACGAAAGATAAATAACTTAAGCAAACAATGTGACTCGGACGACCCCAGTTATCCATTTTCCACCGTAAACTTTGAATATCCTAGCGGTGCAAGAGCCAGTCCCAGACTCTATTGTCACACATTTCTTATTGGAGTATGGAATCCAGTTCGATTGGAAGCTGATTTTAAATCATGGGTAAATCAGATTTATGTGGATTTATCAAGATTCACTCACTGAAGTAAGTAATCTGATTTGTGGCCTGATTGGACGTTGGAGGTTCCTCCTGATTCCTCGTTATAATTATAATCAATATCTGTGATTCATTAAATTCTGTGGAGTCCCGCAGGTCATAGAAATGTCTGACATATTTATTTTTCACAGTTCACATTTTCGAATTTTAAAACTTAGCTAAAGATATGATGCAGTTGCTTCTTATTGAGTCATACCCATTATTTTATAAGGTGTATCAGGACCTGTTTGGCGGATCCAACGGGTGGGTTTTCTCAGCCCAGTGTATCTATAAAAAGTGATTTGATCAATTTTGATGGTCATGTGAGTGAGTGACATTTGACTAGCCAGAGTCCAACTGTGATTACCGTGACTCTTTAGAATACTGACACTTACTTGTGATATCTTTGCTATTCCTCCTACTTCTCAGGTATTGCTATAAATGATTAGTATATAACAACTGTAGATGTTATTCTACAGTAGCTTCTTCTCAATCCGGGACTTGTCCCAGTTCCTTCTGATTGTTGTAAGAACTCTTGTGTGACTGCACCATAACCATCAGGATGCTGCTGTTGCATATTTTGAACTTCTCCAAGTCTTACCAGTGTTTTATTCTCTCACAACTCTTGTGTCTTGGTATCCTACAGTCTGATCAACTGAGGCCTTTCAGTGCTGTGAGTCATGACCAAAATCCCTACTTGCTAAATGTCATCTAGATATACACTTTGGAGCCAACAGGGCAGAAAGCCAGCTTGACAACTAAGCCCCATGGCTGTGCGTGAAATGGGACCACTTCAACATTACAGAATGCTGGAGGGAATCAAATTGACATCTGTATCTGATAGAATGGTACCAGGATTGGCCATCAGAAAAAAGTCTTGAAGAATATATGGGTATGTCAAGTGAACCCATGGCACCCAGGCCATGTCTGAGGAATTATATTAGTTGAATACCAGACCATAGCACAGAAGCTAGAACACCATTATATTATCTGAGACATAGAGTGCTTGATTCCAATTCAGAACCCACTATTAGGCAGCTGGTGCAGCATAGTAATCCATGGGCAGGGCTGGATAAAATGGAGCATAGTAAGTTTTGGGTACCAACCTACTATAGACATTGGTTAAGTAGCTGGCAGGTGAGTATACAGGATTATATGTAGACATTAGGGACAGAGTAAGGGAGAGTCTTGATATTATGTCAGGTTCTGCTGACCTCAGAGGCTCAGATCCACTGGACAAGTCCTTACTAGGCAGACACAACATTCTACATGTCTGTACTCTGGCAGGTTCCAGATGTGAGGGACTGACAAAGGTGAGTTTAGGGAAGTGGTTCAAGTAAGTTCCAAGAACTCTGGGGAGTCCTAAGGGTAGCATGAGCAAGAGGCAAGTGCTGATGTGTAAGGTACTAATTCCAGGAGTGGCTATCAAGAAGGTAGAGTTGTTTGGGTCATGCAAGAGAAGGGAGCAGAACTAGGAGTTGATGGGAGTTCAGATATAGAGTGATTTATTCTTGGATCTAACTTGAAGTTGGGTCTGAGCAAGTATGCAGGGTTGTGGGGAAAGGTAGAATCAAAGATAGAAACAGATGAGGTGAGACAAGAGACAAGACAAGAACAAGACAAAAACAAGATAAGACTGAGACAAGAAAAGAGATGAGATCAAGACAAGTATGAAGACAGAGATTTGGAAACAAAAAGACAAACAGGCACTATTGTAGGTAATATCAAGACTACTGTAACTGATATTACTCTACAATCTAAATACTGTCAAGGGAACTCCTCCAAGACTGTGGGTCTAACAGTGGGACTCATTGAGGCACCAGAGTTTGCCAGAGAAGCATCAGAGTCTGCTGTGATGGGCACTGGAGGGGATGGAGGTTCAAGGGGGGCTGGCATATGCCTCAGGCCATCAGGGTTGTTTAGGATAAGGGAGGTCCAGAGATGGGTCATAACAGTTGCATCTGCATCTTCAGAGTTAACAAATAAATTCAGGCATTGTTCTAATGAGTTCAGCAGAGTGGAAAGTAAGAGAGGCTTGGGTAAATTGCACCTGCTCTTCAGAATTGACAGATAATTTTGGGCCTTGTCCTGGAGGCTTGGAGCATTGGGCTAGAAGGATTAGTTGGATCATAAAAGGAGCACAGGGGGTAGTGAAATACCAGTGGGGAAGAGACCTCTGAGAGAACTTAAAAGGAGAGCAAAGAGTTCAGGCAAGCAAAAAGAGGCTCCTGTCAGGTTCCGCTGACCTCGGGGGCTCAGCTGCACTGGGCGAGTCCTTACTAGGCGGGCGTGATCCCCTTGCACTGGTAACCGAACACTCGAAACGTTCCGGGCACTGATGGCCTGTGCGGATAGCCAGTAGGATGTGATCTGGACAGATCCGGGGAGGTCCGGAGAAGTTGGATTGTGAGGAAATGGGACGGTCTTGGCGGGGTTCAGGCAGAAGACCATATGGGAGATTTGCGGAAGTGAAGGGGTAGGTGGCTGTGGGATCAATGGGAGCGGAGCTGGGGTTTGATGGGGGATCAATTGGAGTTGATGGAGTCCGGGACCAAGCGAAGAGCGAGGTTCGGACCTGGTGAAGGAGTGTCGGGGTTCGTAATTGTAATTGCAGAGTTCATGAGGTCGTTAGGGTTGATGAAGACTTGGGCACAACGGTCAGACGGAGTCACCGAGACAGCGTCAGACAAGATGATATGGAGCAAGAGTAAATTCGAGTGGAGATACGAGACGATAACAAGAATAATAGTGAAATGGAGACAAGACAAGACCGGGAGACTGAGATAAGACCAGGAGACTGAGATAAGACCGGGAGACTGAGAGTAAGAAGAATGAGACACGAAACACAAAACACGAAATACGACAAGGAAACAATCAGACCATAGGTAACGTTAAGCAATATCAAGACTAGAGTACGAAGAGCTACTCGACGGCTTATATACTGACTACCGGAGAACTTCGGGGTACATCGGCTGCAGCGGTGGGGCTTGGTGGAGCTCGACGGAGTGGGCGGGTGTCGGTTGTGATTGAGGATCGGGCCGCGCTGATATGTTGATGGTATCATTGGGGAACACAGGTCGCCCTGAGGTTGTTGTGATACTCCGGAATAGGTCGGAGGAACCAGGGTGTTGAGTTGATGATGGGTGGCGAAGATCGGGAACAGCGGGGGTGGTTCTTGGGGTTCGGGAGATCCAGGGTAAGTGTCAGTGGCTGCGGGGAAGGCACCGAAGTTGGCCAGGGGGCCGTCGGAGTTAGCTGGGAAGGCGTCGGAGTTAGCTGAAATAGGCGCAGGGCATGGGCGGAAGTTCGGCGGAGCGTCGGGGGTTTTTTGGGGGTTTGGGGGGTTGATGGACGATGTGCGGGGGTTCAGGGGACAGGTTGTGACAGCTCCCAAATCAAATTTAGAGACTTGCACTGCTGTAAAGGCAACCTCTGGAGGCTATTACTCAATCACAAAGCTGGCAAAGGGAGATACAAAGTCTATTCAGCCTGTACAAAAAGCTCTAGAGTACTAGCTACTCACCTAGCAGAGAATATTCCAAAGAAAACAAGTCTGAAGATTCTTTATGCTAGGTTTACTCCAGAGCTTCTGAGAAAATCACTCCACAACATCTGAATCTGGAGTCCAATCCAAAAATGAAAATTTGCCTCAATCTCCTGCCTCTTGGCACATGACAACACAAAACTGGTACTGTTAGATAGCCCTTGGTTGAAAGTACTAATGCCTTAAAGATGTGAAGATGGGGCTGAGGAGTGAGCTTGGAATAAGGGAAACAAGATCAGGGCCCAAAACATGTAGTCTCCTGATACTGTGGCTTGAGCCAGCCCCTGCCATCTTTTTGATCTTATTACTTGCAGAATTCTAGAGATAGTCTGATTTGCTTGAGAGACTTAAGAAAATTGAACTCTATTTTCATGACTCTGTTACCAAGACCAACCCAATCATTGTAAGTAATGGAGTTGTAACCTTTTAAAATTGGTTTGCAATGATGACCTCCCAACTGATGGGCATCAGATAGTGAAACACCAGATCCAAGAGCAAAATAATACAATTTTGACAATGAAGTCAGAACATGTAAAACTAAATGTATCTGTTGAAAGAGTGGCAACCCAATGGAGACTATGGTTGAAAAGTCATAATGTTATTGACCACTACATACTCCAGAGCTAGCTTGAACAAATGATTTTGTGAGGACCTCAGCTGAGAGTCCAACCCATTCTTCAAAATATAACCTGCCCATTACTCCACTATGTTGAATGTAACAGGCATTCTAGTGCTAATGACAACAAAAGGTCAGAGAAAAAAGAACAGAACAAGTATATATTGACTCCCCTACTAGGTTGGATGGATGACTCTAGTCATGTATCTGAATATAGAGATCAACTCAATTGACACAAGTTATTATGCAAAATTCACCAGTGATGGTCAAGTGCATGACAATGATTGATGGAGAGCAAACATTGGATCCTGACTAGGTGCAAGGAAAAGTTCAAAAATGATGATCAGTCTATTTGTTTATAATGATAATAATGGCCATAACAGTGATTGTGAGCACTGAAATTGGCCTAGCCAGGTAGGTAGGCAGTAAGCTGGTGAAATTAAAAAGTTTGACCCCTACCCGATTTGAACGGATGACTTTGTGGAAGCTCAGGACATAGCTGGAATCACACACTCTACCACTGAGCTAAGGGGTCACATTGACGTGACATCTCTACCTATATGCAAGGTCAGGAATGCTCGATGATTCGTCCGACCACGACCGTCAGGGTGATAGTTATGCGGTCAACCTTAACCTGGCAATGCGTTCGGAATAAGCCGATGCTGGTCCCCACCACGCCTGCTGCCAGCTATTTATACCCCATCTCCAACCCATGGCTCCCTCTGCGAACCTGAATCGCTCACCACGCTCTTTCACGCCCCCAAACGATGTTGCGACGTATAGGGATCTACTGTTCTTCGAGGAGCGGCTCAAGAGCAATGCGATGAACTTGCAGAGTCGGAAGTCAAGGTATCAGCGTACGTCCGTCTGTTCGCTTCTCTCCTCTCTTCATTACATTCTCATCTCATTGTTCTGTTCTTACAACAGTGTTCCTAATCCAGCTTCTGATGGCCATACTCTTCCTTCTCGTTGAGGTCCTACTCCCACCGCAAGTTTCGATACTCGCGATACCGTATAGAATGGCAATGAGGAAGCTCCTGCCCGGGAAATATAGCGCGATTCCCGATGTGCAACTCATGGTACATCCGTATTTTTCGACGGGCTTGTTATTCGTTAGTGTCACGACGCTACTGTTGTTCTTTGCGAGTGGGATGTATGAAGAAAAGATATCGTATGCTAATAAGTGAGTCCATCGTCCACTCTGATATGCAGGTAACCTGCGGTGCCACCCGCTGAATATCACATAGATATGTCCCCCACGCCAATCGTGCTCTCCGCTCATTTAATATGTACCTTAACGTCCGCAAGCCGCCTCTACGCACCAAATTCCGGTTTAATCCCCTCTCGTTCTTCTTCCCTCGTCCTTTCACCCCTTCTGCGCCCTCCTCTCAATCCTTACGCTTGCCCTCACCTTCACGTTCCCTCTCGCCCTCTCCGCGGCGCGCCCGTTCCCCCTCCGTTCCGCCTGGCGCGAGCATCCCCATCCCCGAAATCCCCCCCGCAAGCAATCCGCGGGGCGAGCTGATTTTTTCGTCGAGGGTAGATAGGGCGTTTCGGGAGGGGTATGATAGGCATCGTGCCGCGTTTGAGAAGAGGAGGGGCGAGAGGGAGAGGGAGGCAAGTAGGAGGAGCGGGACTGTTGGGTGGATCGTGGGATGGTGGAAAGGGAAGGTGGAGGGGAGCGGTAAGGCAGAGGGAAATGGTGGAAGGACGGATGGGAGGACGGATGGGAGGGGGGCAGGGGGAGGGAAAGAAGTGCCATTACAGGGGGGGCCGTCAGTTGCTTCGGTGGGGAGGAGGACGGGGACGGGTAGGAATTCGAAGGTGATAGTGATGAAGCCGAAGCAGAGGGAGAGGAGTCTGTCTCCGCCCAGTGAACGGCATGGGCCAAGGTCGAGAGAGGAGAGAGTATGAGCCAGATTGCACAGTCCGGATTCAGAGGAGCAGGGCAACTGGGTACGATTATGATAACTATCATGATTGGTGTAATACTTATAATTCATGTTTGTTGATTTGGGACTCTTTTTTGACAGTATATTGTCATGATGAAATATAGCGCATACAGTTGGCGTCCATCCTTATCTTAGCCTCCATTGGTTCATCGTTGTGTATGGCCAAGGTCACGCTATTGTAAATTGATTCTGTAAGTGCCCTCCTCAAATCCATATGAGCTCGTTATACTGCATCCTTACGGTCTAGTATATCCTAGACCTCATTCAACATAACCCTTCCCGGCCCTTGCAATTCTATATTGCCTTAGCCAATCCACTCCAATATGCATATCGATGGCCTGTTCAGCTTGAGTTACTAGGCGGAGAGATGCTCGGATTGTTGCAAGGTGATTATTGAACGGCGTAACACCTCAGCAGAATAAACCTCTCTGATAAGGAGGATTGTCAAGGTGGGATAAACTAGCTATTATTCACCGTATTCAGCATGCGTAATACAGATGTCATAGATATTAGCTCACTGAGAGGTTTCTATACAGGGATATGAATACTTTGAAGGCATACGCCGACGGGACGGAGCTTAGTTCGACAGATTGAAGTACAAACATCACAAGCTGTTAAGAGGAAAAATGCCTATTGCCGAATTAGTAGATATGACCACACCCATACCTGGAGAACACAGTAGATGGCTCCGGATTCCACAAGAAGAGCTAAGATACACCATGATCCGATGAATTTTCGATGCGAGATTTGAATCTTCTTTAGGAAACGGATATGTTGCCTGTGTCTAACATTAGCTCAATCGGAAGTCAACTTGACTCGACTCACCACAAGATCATTCCGATGAGTATTGTAGCCACTCCATTGGTAAAAAGAGACAATCCAAAGAAAATATAGCCAAAGACATGCTCCATGTCTGAGTCAAACACATGTTTAACCAAAAAGCCTGAGGATTGTTGCTCCCTAACTGGAGTCCCACTACTCCAACCTTGGCCAAAAGAAAAAAGAGAACAGCTGATTAAGTATCCGAGCATAGCTCCTTCATGGGATGGCAGTTGAATGAATAGTAACAGTGAAGTCCTGAATACTAACAAGACATACCAAAGGAACAGATACATAGTCCAACTGAAAGTATAAACACCCATCTCTGCCTGTTGAAGATAAGCCATGCACGCCATACAATTATGGCATCATTGAAAACCAGCTGATGAGAAGCAAGTGGTTGGTCAGAAGATGTGTTAAACAAGCTTGGGACACACTGGAAAAGTAGAGAACCACAACATTGTAATGGGAATTGTGTTCATGCGTATAACAGAAGTTTCGGTGGAAGGGTGGACAATAACTACCCCTGCCGAAGGGATGAAAGTTCCTAAAGTCGGGAAGGTGGTCATCCAATTTAAGCCGGCATAACCAAGACTTGTAAATAGACTGAATGAGATTATGACCAATGTTGCTCGGGAATGCAAAGATTGTCCTTTACGCCTAAAAAAAATTTTGTGATTGAGTTTGTCATGGAATATACTCGTCCATGCATGCATACTTGATGACGATGTAAATTGCCATGATGTACAGGGGGGTGAATATTCCTGTCACGTCGAAAAAAATCCGCAACAAACAGATGGCCATGGCTCACTGTGAGTGAGATGATACACAAAATATAGTGACCCATATACCTGTGCACAGGAGACTAATTGCCAAATCGATAAGATTGTCCTCCATATCAGAGCCAAGAGTTGTGAGAGAGGCGCGCATTGCAGAATCCATGACTGATCAGAAGGCCTACAGGATATTAGTTTGGTAGCTGGGTAGAAAAGGTAGTGTATGTTACTTAAAGGTGGAAATGAGCAAACCACCAGAGTCCATGAGAGCAAAGAATTTATAAGCTTTGTAGATCAAGACTTCCCTCCAACAGGCAGCGGTAAGTGATCATGATATCAACCACCCGTGCTGATGGTTAGGGCTTGCAAGCCTGGCATGGAGCCACTAACAGAAGTGATTGTTCTCACTCCAAGGTATAATTAGGATGTTCTTGAGAAATGCCTGAGTCAACCAGCTGATCGTAATTATCATGGAGGGACATTCAACGTTTGTCTCAATTTACTTGCTTTGTGTTATGTCGAGAGCACAGGCTTGGTTTCCAGGTATTATACTATATGATACACCCACCATATTGTCATACTTGCTGCCAATGTTCAGCAGGATTGGTAAATACTGAATAGACAAGGCGCACAGTATAGGACTCACAGGACATTCAACAGCAGTTGGAAACAAATCAAGCTCGCTGTCAATATGATGCTTGAGGGATATGATACATCTGATAAAAAGCACATGGCAAAAGTCAATGATTCAGCTCTTGATGTAGAAATCATTTTACCGTGTCTACATATGGTCGCATATGGGACGTCATGAAACAATCATCCCTATAGAAAATTTGCATCAGGGACAGTTTGTATTTATGCATATGTCCAAACTTATTCCCCACTAAAAGACAAGATAACCATGATCGAAAGATGCTGACCGTACACACCCTTGCGCTCATATTGCGCGGACCGCCCAGTTGAAACGGGCATCTGAATGTGCATTGTCTGCATGGGGTTACACACATTACACACTTTCCTTACTTTTTTTATCTCTATCTTCTCATTGACATGAGATCTTCCAAGACATGGGTGTCGGTCGATGCACTTAATGCAGGCTAGGTGGTTAAATGAGTACCACAGTACTCAATTTACAAACCTTTGAAAAAGCTCAGTAACCACCTACATCTCTGCACTTGAGGCTTATTAACAAGATTCTGACAATAGTTCCTTGTTGAGGATGTCCACTGTTGAAACACTATTTCATTATTGATCATAGTACATTGTTCTTTGGCAAAGACTACTTGAACTGAGTACTTTTTCAAACTGTACAAGTGTCCTCAAATTCCTATGAGTCTGTAAATTGCATTTGTAGTATTTTAGACTAAGTACATCAAAGACTCAGAACTCTGTTGATTAATCCAACCTGGTCCTCCCAGCTCATGGTTCCCTTAGTCAAGTGATCATGTAGCCCATGAATGCCTTTCTCAAACAGAGTGATGCTCCTCAAATGCTTGTGAGGCAATGATTGAACTGTGTAATGTCTGAACAGAAGAAGCCTCTCTGGTAATGAGGATTGTCAAGGTGGGATAAGCTATCTGTTATTCATCATATTCAACATGCGTAATACAAATTTGATCATGAGATTAGCTCACTGAGAGGTTTCTATACAGGGAGACAAAGACTTGAAAGGCATCCACTGACAGGAAGGAGCTTTCTTCAATTTGAATAAATTGCATTACAAACATCACAAGCTGTCAAGAGGTTGATGCCTATTGCTGAATGAGATATAACTTTAACCATACCTGGAGAACACAGTAGATGGCTCCAGATTCTACAAGAAGAGCTAAGATGTACCATGATCCAGTGAATTTTTTATGTGATATCTGAATCTTTTTTAGAAAAGAGTAATGTTGCCTGTATCTAACATTAGCAAATCAACTTGAAGCATACAATGTACAATTACTCACCACAAAGTCATTCCAATTAGGATTGTAGCCACTGCATTG